TATACTTTGCTCTCCTCTCACAGCATCTGATGAAGTGACATGAAAGGGATCTTTGACAAGATCCTTCACCAAAGGCTATTTAAAAAAAAGTTGCCATGGGATTGGAAGTAAAGCACCTTTCATGGATTGAAAGTTGGTTAAAGATAAGAAACAAAGGGTAGGGCTTAATGGTAATGTTTTCTGTATAGAAGCAGGTCAAGAGTCAAGTCTCCCAGAGATTTGTGCTGGGCACTGTTTTGCTCAATTTTTTCATAAATGACCTAGAAAAGGGAGTGGGCAGTGTAATCTCAAAGTTTACAGATGACGTTAAATTATTTGGGGTAGTTAAATCCCAGGCTGATGGTAAAGAGGTACAGAAAAATCTCACAAAACAGAATGAGATAGGCAGAGGCAATAAAGTGGGAAGTGAACTTCAGTGTTGACAAATGCACAAGTAATGCACATAGGGAAAATAATCTCAACCATAGCGTTCACAGTGCTGGCCTCTGAAATCACTGTTATGACTTAGGAAAGAGACTTTAGAGTCACTGTGGATAGTTTTCTTTAAAAAACCACAAAAAAACCACACACATTGGCTCAGTCCACAGTGGCAAACCATAAAAGTCAATAAAATGCTGGGCATCATTAAGAAGGAGATTGAAAACAAAGTGGAAAACATCATTATGCTAGTATATAAATCCATGGTGTATCCACATGTTGAATACTGTGTGCAGAGGTCTCCACATCTCTAAAAGGATACAGGAGAATTAGAAAAGATAAGAGACAAGGACAATAACAATGATCAGAGGTATGAAGCAATTGCCATACCAAGAGCAACTAAAAGGGCCAGGACTCTTCATTTCGGAAAGAAGGCTAAGGAAGATATAGAACAGCGGTGGCCAACCTGCGGCTCCGGAGTCACATGCAGCTCTTCAGAAGTTAATATGCATCTCCTTGAATCTTTGCACAAGCACATGATGACCAGCTTCTATTTGGAAGCTAATATTCTTTCCACAAGCTTCCATTTAGAAGGTGGTCACTGTGTGTGTGCAAAGATTCAAGGAGATGCATATTAAACTTCTGAAGAGCCGTACATGGCTCCGGAGCCACAGGTTGGCCACCCCCGATACAGAAATTTATAAAATTACAAAAGGTGCAGATAAAGTGAATAGGGAATTGTTATGCTTTTCTATCGCTGATCAACATTTCCCTCTTCCCCACCACCACCTACCTGTCTCACACCTGTTAAATCCCATCCCCTCTGATCTTCCCTGCCATGCATTTGGGGCCTGGGAGCTCCCTGCTACCAGAGGAGAGCAGAGGGACATTGTCCCTGCTTAGGCTCTGATGGCAAAGCTCACCTTGGCAGCAGGCATCTCCCGGGGGCAGAGAGCAATCTCCTGCTCCCCTGCTGCCTGGCTGACCAGGAGCAAAAATGCTCCTGGTCAGCCACCTACATGTGCCATACTGTGCAGTAATTACTCAACAGTTCATCTGCTACTTGCATTCGCAGGTGTGTAGAGCAAATTACTCTGCAACAAGGATCACCACATGTAGATGGTAATGCTTACTATGCAGTAATTAGCTCTACTGCACAGTAAAGCTTCTCATGCAGATGCGCTCAGTATGTAGTTAACTTGTAGAACTTGTTGCCACAGGAGGCTTTAGAGACAGATAGTAAAACCAGGTTCAAAAAGAGTTTAGACCAATTCATGGAGGACAGGTAATATTCAGGAAGGGTAGAGGATGGATTGATCTAGATATGCCTTGTACACATATTCTCTCTCTAAATGATCTATTATTTGCCATGATTGGAGACAGCACACTGGGCTGGATGGACCATTGGTCTGACTCAGTCTGCTACTTACGTTCTTATGACTTCAGTATGGAACAGTTCATACTTGCCCTCTCCCGGAGCAGACCATGAAACCATGACAACCACAACTGGGTTTCTTATTCCCTCTTGCTCTGCAGGGGTGGTAATCTGCACAAATTATTTATCTGGCATACAAATCTTTACACACCCCTTCAAATCAGTTCAGCTATGCTGGTCACCATAAAGCACATGCAGTAGCATAACTAGGGGTGGGTGGGCAGGACAATGGCCTGGATTCTGTTTTAGAGGGGAGATGCCTGAATGGCAGCCCTCAAGAACCCCACTCCATGGTAGCAGGGAGCCTGTGCCGTGGCAACAGTGGCAGCAGCCTGTGTGAAAGCTCACCCCCACCCTCCCTTGTCTAGGGCACCAAATTTCCTAGTTGTGCTCGCAGTGGCATAGATCCACCCTGCCTAACTGTTCCCTGACCATTTGTGCAGAGGGAAGAGGGAATAGCAATCTCACAAAGATGTTCAATCCCAGGGTCGGCAGCGTTTTTGGCCGGAGTGCCAAAAACACCCCAACCTCAACTTGTAAAATGTTAGTGTGCCAGAGGTAGATAGCAGGGTAGCTGCAAGAAGCCCAGTTCTAGTCGTGGCAGCCCAGCCCTGGCCCCTTCCCTGCCATCCGCCCAGAGGCACATGTGCACCCGGGGCCAGCAACGCGCCAAGCAGGAGTTCTGCAGACCTTGGTGCAGTGGCTTTTTC